AAACAAACAAAAAAAAGAAATGACATTTCTTCACTCCCCACAAAGGAAGTCCTTTATAACAGCAAAAACCTGGTGCAGGGCCCAACCCAGGACCACACACAACTTGAGCTGTTCTCTACTTAGTCACCATGAACCTAGAACAGGATTCTCCAACACAACTTTCTAGAATGACAGCAACGTCCTCTAGATCTGCTGTCCAAGAGGGCAGCCACCACATGTGTACCCACCAAGCACTAGAAACCTGAGTTTCTCATTTTATTTTAACTAAATTAAAATCCACATGTGGCTGGAACCTGCGGATGGTGTGGATCTCAAAGTCTCCTTGAACTGTGTCTTCAAGACCTGGTGATTCTGAAGGACACAGACCCATCAGGATCCACCCACCAGAGGTCCCAAGGACTGTCCTGGAAGTTCCTCAGGGAGCAGACCCCACTGGGTCCAGAAAGAGCGCTCTTTCACGCGCCCCCTCTCTTTCTCTCTCTCTCCCTCCTTCTCCCTCCTGCCCTCCCTCTCTGTCCCCCTCCTCCCTCTCTCTCTTCTATCAGCACAAGTGTGTAGTACATAATGTTTATACTCCCTGTACAGAACTGGTGTGTGTACACAACACATCTTAATTCCTTTCCTCATCCCTTCCCCTCTCCTTCCCCCCCGCCTCCATCTCGTCATCCCCTTTCCCTTTGAAAGATGTGTCCCTCGTGCCTATTTCCCATCTTTCATTTCACTTCTTATTTATACTTTGGATTTCTCAGGCTAAGGAAACCATGTGATTTACACTCGTGTGAGTTGTATGCTGTGTGCTTTCCTACAATAAGAGGATAAGACGAAAGACACAGAAGACAGACGTGGAGCCCAGAGGCATGGACCCACAGGGCGCAGGCCACGTGACAACAGAGCAGGGACCAGAGTGAGGTCGCTCTGGCCAGCAGCCACCAGGAACTGGGAGAGCCTGGATCCGCTCTCCCCAGGAACCCCGGAAAAGCAGCAGGGCCCTGCTCTGCCCCCAAGCTCAGGCCCCCACGGCTGAGGCAGCTGGCCCAGGGCACGGACAGCCCCAGGGACCCGCAAGGGTGGACCCGGCCCGCAGCACCCCACTCTGCGCCCTGCGTGTCCTGCTCTGGGGCACACGCTGCGGCTTCCAGCCTAGCTCAAGTATTTTTTTCAAACGGCCGTCTCTAATTTCCACAAAGCATTTATTTTAATGCCTCCTCAGCCTCCTGTTTTAGAGTTAATTACACGGGCCCTGACCATAATCACAGCCGGCAAGGCCAGGCTTCCTTTCTGGGCGCAGATGAGCCAGAGTCCCTTGCCCGGGAGCCCAGCCTCTCCGCCTGGCCTGGTCCTACCCCACCCTTGGCGACTCTGCCCAGCCTGAGCTTCAGGAATCCCGCCTGGGGTTGTTCAGTGCCCACCCCGTGCACCCAGACCAGACATGGAAGACTTCTGGCATCCGCGTGACAGGCTGGGGAGAAAGGGCTGGTCGCTGGCTCTCAGCCCCTCCAGCCCCCTGGTACAGAGCGGGTGCTCACAGCCCAGCCCACTTCACAGGCTGTCCTTCACGAGGCCCCGCTTGTGTTTATTCATCCAATTTACACAAAGGGAAACTGAGGCAGCAAGCAGGAAGGACCTCCGCTTCCAACCAGAAGGTGGCAGATCCAGGACCAAACTCACTGCTTCAAAATAGGGCCCTGGCTGGGCCGGGGGTGGGGTGGGGCAGTGCCCAAGGCTGTACCCCCGGCAGCATCCAAATTCCTCAGTGCCCGTCTACGTCTACCTCCTCCCTCGTGCACGACCAGGGAATCCAAGGCCCCAGCGAAGAGGCAGGGACAGGCCAGCCCACATTCTGATTTCCGGCCCCTTCCGGCCCAACCAAGGTGGGGTCCCTTCGCTCCGCAAGGCCGCAGGGCCCAGGGAAACAGATGGCAGTGCCCTGGCTGCTAGGAGCCTCGCCATCCCAACAGCAGGGCCAGGCAGGTTCTAGAAAGGGACCTGAAGGTCTGGGGCAGACCCAGGCTGATTGATGGTAGGTGATGGTCTAGGACACCCCGGGAGGGTGACAGCCACCTGGTACCGGCCACACCACCCTGCTCAGGCCTCACCAAGCTGCTGGAGGCCATCTCGGCCACTGTCGGCCCCCCGGACCTGATCACACTGAAATCAGATTAGTGCCAGACACCAGGTCCCCACCAGGCTCCACCAGACGCCCAGCCCAGGCTGCTGCCCTGTGTCATCTGTCATTCAGCTTCAGAGGAACCTTGAGGTGGGAGGTGGCCAAGGCCCACCACAGCCACTTCTCTACGCGGCTGTAAAACCAAGTGCCCCTGTGAGGACGCCCTGCCCTGGGTCCCTGCCCCGCTCAGGACCACCCAGCAGGCTGGGAAGGACAACCTCAAGGGAGGGAGGGGCCCTAAAGCTGTGTGGACCCTCCTGCCACCCTCATGGGCTCTGGGCACTGCTAGGCGGGGCACAGGACAGGCTGCCCTGCCCTCTGGAGCTCAGTCCATGCGGGACGCTGACCAGCCTCAGGATGGAGTCAGGGGTGCAGAGGGGGAATCTGAGGCCCGGGAGGGGCTCCCTAGCTGGCCACGCAGCAGCTGGCTTCACCAGGGAATTGAGTTTGAACGCGGGTGGCTCAGGCAGGTGGGCACTGACCACGTGGACAGGATGCCGCTGTGCCCAGCCCCGCCACTTTGTTTTTAGTGCCACCCCTCACCCTGGCAGGCATGCAGGGCCACCACCCTGCCCCACGGCTTGACAGGCTGCCATCAGGTCAGGCCGGGTGCCCAGGTCACAGAGCAGTGGGCAGAGGGGAGGTCCTGTCCCATACGGACAGAGTGGCCGGTGCCTGGGGAGCCGGGGCCCCTCCAGCCCTTCGCCGTACGCACTGTGTGCACCTGGACATCTCATCCCCTCAGGGAGGCCTGTCCGGTCCCTTCCCATGCTGACCCCCGGGCATCGCACACACTGACTCACGACCGTCACAAAAGTCCAGCTGACTCGGGGTTTTCCAGAACTCAGGGGGCCAGGACAAGACCAACCCACTCCAGCTCCTCACAGCCACCCCGAGCTCTTACACAAGGATTCTCAAGGAACAGAGGAGGAGAAGGAGGTTGCCAGAGGTCCTGGGCCAGCCCGAG